CTGGGGGTTACCAACCATTGTAGTGTTTATCCATCATAACAGTGAGTTGTTATACACTGGAAGTCTCCTGCCATGACTTCCCTGTCCCCTTCATGTGTTCCCACCATGGTATGTCTCCACCATTCCGAGAAGCAGCCAGAGGCCAACTTCCAGCCGAACCAATCGTAAACTTTCAGCCTAAAAGCTGCAAACTAAATCAACCTCTTTTCTGTCTACATGACCTAACTTCAGGTATTTTGTTACAGCACTAGAAATCAGAATAATACACATACTTATTTTTTGCAACAGGATTATCCACAATAGCCAAAAATGGAAAGTAAGTATCTATCAATAAGTAAGTTGATTAACAACATGTGCTCTGTGTATATGCACAGGTACCTCTATATATCTAGCAAGTGTGATATATGCATATTATTCATCCTTTAAAAGAAAGGAACGTCTACCCAGTTGCTGGTGGCTCATACATGTAATCCTAGCTACTCTGGAGGCTGAGATCTAAGTATGACAGTTCAAAGCCAGGCAGGAAAATCGGTGAAACTCTTGACTCCATTTAACTATTAGAAAACTGGAAATGGAGCTGTGGCTCAGAGTAAGTGAAAGAGCTCAGAGGCAGTGCCCAGGCCCTGAGTTCAAGCCCCATGATTAAAAAAGAAAGAAAAAAGGGCAAATTCTGGGGTCCACATATGGAGACACCTGCCCATAGTCTCAGATATGACCAAGACTGTAGTAGAAAGACCTCACTCAGAGGCTAACCCTGGCCTAAAATGTGAGAGTTTAACTAGAAAATCACTAAAGCAAAAAACAAGCTGGCGGTGTGATTCAAGTGCTACAGAGCCTACCTAGCAAGCAGAGACTTGAAATTCAAAAATAAATAAACAACTGAATGAAAAAGAAGTTCTTACACTGCTACAACATAAATGAATCAGGAGGACATTGTGAAACTGAAGTCAGTCCGTCACAAAGCAACAAAAACATTATCCCACTTCTATTAGGTACTTAGGATAGGGGGATTTGTAGAGGCAGAAAGCAGAGCAGCACCGGAAGCTGGCAGAGAAGGCAGTTACGGCTCATGGCACCAGAGTTTCTGTTTACAGGATACAAAGAGTTCTGGAGATAAGGTCATTTGCATAGCACCATGAATGTATTTAGTAATAACCAAGTGTACACTTGAAAATGGCAAAGACAGTTAATCTCCATATTGTTAGTATTTCTCTACACCAAGAAGCATCATGTATGCACACCATATCACACATGTAACACACATGAAAACAACTGCATTTGGAAAAAAAAAAGAGAGTAGCAGACAGACAGAAAAGCAGCAATACTTGTATACTGTCCATCTTTGCCTAAGACCTTTCCTACTATAGACACCAAAGGACCAGCAGAAAGGGAACTTCTTTAGTATTCATGTATACTAAATGATTCATGATAATAATAGTATTCCTGCATTAGAGCTCAAATTCCATAGCAGATCACGTGCTTACAAGTAACAGAAATGTGAACGTTTGCTACTCAGAGGGAGGTCCAAAGACCAGAGGCATGAGAAATTGGTTGATAGTTAGGCATGCAATTCTCTGGAATCAGATTCCCAGAGAGTCAGTTGCCCGTTGAAGTTGGAGAGATACTGAGGTTAACTTTTGAAAGCTGCAAATAGAGAAAAAAAATTAATAATTCTTGATAAGGTTGAGTTGGGAGGAAAACAAGTCATTAACAACACATCATGATATTGTAAGTTAAACTAAGGAAAACATGTGTGTTTTGCCCTCTTATGCTCTCAAAAATGATTAAAGTTGCCAGGCACCAGTGGCTCTGGCTTGTAATCCTAGCTACTCAGGAAGCTGAGATCTGAGGAACCTGGTGCAAAGTCAGCCTGAGCAGAAAAATCTATGAGACTCTTATCTTCAGTGAAAAAATGAAAAGCTGGAAGTGGAGGTGTGGCTCAAGTGGTAGAGCACCAGCTTTGAGTGAAAAGCCAAATGAAAAGCTCAAGGCCCTGCCCTAATACTAACACACACACACACACACACACACACACACACAGATACACACACACACACACACACACACACACACAGATACACACACACACACACACACACAGATACACACACACACACACACACAGATACACACACACACACACACACAGATACACACACACACACACAGATACACACACACACACACACAGATACACACACACACACACACACACACACACACACACACACAGATACACACACACACACACACAGACACACACACACACACACACACACACACACACGGATTAAATCCAATCCATTAACACAAAAAAATACTTAAATGGAACCACAAGTTTAATGTAATATGACAATGACAGTATTTTTTAAAGGCTATACTATCTTTCATGGAAAAAAGGATGATTTTTAAAAACCCAAGAGCCAAACACAAAGGTCTTACTAAATGGCTGGCAGGGAATTTGCCAGGTTAAAAGTTCCAAGAACTCGCCACTCTAGCGGAATTAATACATAGCATACGACATATTCATTTGCCAGGAAAACTACTCATCCTCATAAACATTCAAAAACAATAAAATTCTGCTCACTTGTAATGTGAGAAAAACAACTAATACTCACAGCCCACTAGATCCCTTTGGTTGAATATGGTATAGAGGACAGAAAAAAATCCCAATGTATTTATGTGAATACGAAAGGAAAAGATAATAAATCTAAGTATCCAAAAATACACAAACTGGTCACTGGTGGTTCATTCCTGCCATTGTAGCTACTCAGGAGGATGAGATCTGAGGATCTCAGTTCAAAGCAATCCCAGTCAAGAAAGTCTCTGAGACTTTTATTTCTCCTTAACTACCAAAAAGCCGGATGTAGAGGTATTGCTCAAGTGGTAGAGTACCAGCCTTAAGCAAAAGAAAAAAGCTAAACAAGAGCACCTAGGCCCTGAGTTCAAGTTCCAGTACAAGCACTAAAAACATAAAAAATTACAGATCAAGAAAGAAAGAAAGTCCATGTTTGTCTTAAGAAGACTTTCTCTTGGGAAAAATTTCATGTGGTTTTATTGCAATATGCTTCTCCCATTTCTGTGAGGAATGCCCAACAGGAAAATAAAAATTAGTGAGATAAAGCAGAGATGACTGGGAGGGAAAAGTGGAGTTAGATTCTTTGTCTAACACCAGGGCATTCTTGGCTGGAAAGCCCTTTTTCCACACACTGATAATCTTCCAGAGTTACTCCAATCTCTGTCTGCTTTCATTTTCTTTCCTCTGGCAAACTTCCATTCACTCTGGCTTTTGCAACAGTAAAAATAAGTAAATTTGACTCAATAAAACCCAGGGTTATTTTACAAGTACAAACCGAAAATCAACCTTAGTTTTGGCTTGTTGTTTTTTGAAATTGATGCTAATTCTAAGCAACAACCCAGAGAATCCCTGGAGGTTTACATGAGCTCATCAGTAGCAAAAAAAATCATTTTAAAGTAATCTTTAAGTGTTTTCAAGAGCAAGAAGGAAAATCTTTAAATTGCTGAGTTACTTGGCACAGTTGACATGCCTAGTGAGTCCTGCCAAATCTCACCCAGGGAGGGACTAAAGGTGACTTGTGTTCTCTTACTAACATCTTGGATTTGAGGTCCACAGGTGAGATTGTTTTGGCAGTCTTGGGGTTTGAACTCAGGACCTTGTGCTTGCTAAGCAAGTACTCTGCCATTTGAGCCATGACTCCAGTCCTAGATATCTTTTTGCTTGTTTGTTGGGGGGGGGGGGTTGAACAGGTTTTGCTTGCTAGGGAGTCTCTTTGGTTAGTTTTTGTTTTATTGAGAGGGTGGAGGGTTTGAGACAAAGTCTCATTATATATAGCTCAGGCTGGCCTTGAACTCACTATGTAGCAGCAGTCTGATCTCAAATCCCCAACCCTCTTGCCTCCAACTCCTGAGTTCAGGATTATAGGGGACATCTTAAGAGATGAATTTAATACTCTTATAAATGTCTTACTCTAATTTTATCAATCATACGTTACAACATTAAATTTTTGTTGAGCAAAACAAGAGTTAACAACTTAAAAACGGGGCGGGGGGAGTGGGGGAGGGGGGGACAAAGTATAAAATGCAAGAAGCCACCCTCATGCGGCGGCGATAAACATCTGCAGGCCTCTGCAACTGTCAGCCATTAGAATAGTAATTTTTTTTTAAATCTCAGAAGAAAACCACACTGAAAGCCTTTGCCACTGGCACAAATGTGAGAGATATAAACTGGTACTCAGGGGCCAGCAGGGAGGTATGCGTGCACCTGCATCTAAATGCCTGCTGTCACCAGCCCTTCTGCAACAGTGGGCATACACTGACAGTGCCCCTGCTCAGTGGTTCCCCCAACCTACGATCATCAAAAGCTCAGAGGAAGCAGAAACATCCAACAGGATGTTCCTTTCCCACATAGAGGCTGGAGGCCTTTCATAGATTGAGAAAGAAACCAGGGACCAGAGGGTTAAAAGAAATCCACTCCAATGACATACCTCATGATATAAATAAGATGTTACACTTGATTTCCCTTCAAATTAATTCCACTTTGTCCAACAGTATGAAATTATGATTCTATAAATATGCAACCAGCCCTAACATTCTCCTAACATTCTCCCTAAATTTATTTTTGCCTCCATCTATGTCCTTCAAAATGCAAAACTAGGTCCAAGGGTACATCTCAGTAGTGGAATGCTGGCCTGCCTTGCACACAGCCCTTGATTTGATCTGCACCACTACAAAATAAACAAGCAAATTCATCTAAAACTAAAGCACTTTAGGAATACTCTTGTGACCACCAGGGACCAGCAGGCTCACTTGAAAATACAGAGAATCCCAGAAAAATAAAGAACACATTTTCAAGGAAGGACACCATGTCATCTAGACAGAGACAGCTATTTGCCTCCACAAATAATGGGTCTTTAAAAGCTAATGTCAAGTTTATTGCTTTCTGAAATGTAAAGCAGAGAACTTTACAATTTGCCCCTTCAGCAAGTTCCAGGTTTAAATATATTGATGTGATAGAGAAAGGTACATGCATGTGAATATATAGAATTTGTAGGAATCATCATTTACGTTAGAAATTTCTTTATACAAACATTTATTTTAAAATGAAAAAAAGCACATGGCAAGAATGCTCTGAGACTGCAGAAGAATCCAGCTGTCCATGGGAGCAGCGTTTCACTGAGAGACATGAGTGACGGCAGATGAGGGTCTCTTGAGAATAGACTCGACAGAAAACGACAGCGGTTCATTCACCGCGAGTTTTGTTCCAACTTGTTTGGCTACAAAAAGGTCTTTTGCACACCTATCTATTGTAAATGTGTACCTCTGGTTTTCCTGGACCAGACACTCCCTGCGTTTCTTTGGGGTCTCTTCAAAGGCTTCTTTGACAAATGGTGGTGCTTTCAATTCAGGACCTAATTTGTCACTTTGTGTTTGCTGGAGTAATGAATGGAATGGATTAGGTTTAAGTGGCATTGGGTGCCTGGTGTTTTCTTTGCTGATCTTGTTTAAGACTTGCCCTTGAGCTGCCAGGCAGTCCGTGTCAACAATGGGAGAGAAATTCCGCCGGGGAGGGGAGAAAGCAGACCTCTCTGGGATAGCCTGGTGACCCTGCAGGTCACTTCTGGATGTCTGGATCTCTGGAGTGTGAGGCAGTACCATGGGACCTTCCAGTTTGGGAGGCAGCATGTCATGTTCTGCACTGAGCCCGTCCCGGACTCCTTTCAACTCCCAGCTGGCCCCTGGCTTCAGGGCTTGAACTGAGGTGGTAGCATTTAGCAAGCACTGCTGATAAAGGAGGGTGTCACTAATGGGACCACACTTGGGCCAAACGAAAAATCTTGAAGATAGTGGATATTGCCTATAAGTTGTGGCCACACTGACGTTAGAAGAAATCAGTTCCATATTCCCAGATCCTGAATACTGCATGGTAAGATCAAGGCAGGTGGGCATCAAATTGCAGAATTCCTTGCTCACTGGCTCCCCTGGGGATGGACTATAAGCACTTTTGAAGGAGTTGTATTCAGGTCCTGGCACCATGCGGTTGGGCAGGAACAAAGCAGCAGTCTGAGAAGTTTCCAACATCTCCCTCTCTTTGTACTCTCTTTCCAGCATAATGTTCTCCAATTCCTTGTCAGCAAACGCCCTTCTTTTCCTCATTCTGTCACTAACTGGAGGAGGCAGAGGTAGGGTCCCTCCTAGGTAAGTCTCGGCTGTTATGGGGCGATAACCTGAAACATGCAAACGTGCACAGCAAAGAGATTAGCATTTCGGGATGAAAATCTGCAAAAACGACAAAAGGAAACTCCAAAACTCAGTAGAACAATTGTGCATAATTCTAGATCCCTAATACTTTTCAATAGAGAGCAAAAGTTTAGGTTCAATTTCGATTTGTTTCCTCTGAGGAAAACATTTCCATCTTGTAACATTTGTTCCTGGTTTTTGGTTTGGGGATATGTATCTTCATATTTATATATATATATATATATATATATATATGTATGTATGTATATGTATATGTGTGTACATATATATATATATGTTTATCTGCTTGCTTGCTTGAACAAGTGTATTTATTGACTGAGACTTTAATATTCTTCCTAGATTCATACATATTAAGAGGTAAAGATGTCCATCTTGCGTCAACCAATGCCTTCTTCTCTTTTCATCTGTGTTCATTATTTTAAAAGGTATCTAGCCAGTGGCTCATGCCTGTAATCCTAGCTACTCAAGAGACTAAGATCTGAAGACCACAGTTGAAAGCCAAGTTAAGCAGGAAAAGTCCATGAGACTGTTAACCCCAATTCATCAGCAAAAAGTCAGAATTAGAGATGTGGCTCAGGCAATAGAGAGCTAGCATTGAGAATAAAAAGCTAAGGAACAGTGCCCAGGCCCTGAGTGCAAGCACTAGTACTGGCACACAAAAAACGAAAAAAGAAAAAATTATATATCTATACCTAGAGCTGAAGTCACTTTTATTTTCTAAAGATGCCTCATTATGTACATATTGTTACAGTTGTAGAATAATCCAAGGAGAACTAGGAGAAAAAGAAAAAAAGAAAGTTAAAGGAGATTAGTGAGGAGAAAAAGAACAAAAAAGACCTAAGGAAATAGAGAAGCATAGAAAATTGAAAAGTGCTGTTACTAGTCAAACATACTTTACAATGGACAATTTAGCCAGGTCTTCCCCTTAACAACCAGTACAAATAGAGAAAAGCAAAAGCAAAACAAAACTGGAGGTGGGGGGCGCCAAGGGTATTCCCAGTTATATTCAAAATAACAGGTTTGAAGCATTTTTCCCAAGCTCAATCATGTTGGCCAGATACCAAAATGGTTGAACAAGCGATCATTAAAATGAAGATTAAGTCATCACACATTTCATGAATAGAGACAAAATCAAAACCAGAGATTAGTGTAATGTAAACAGAATTCCTGGTGGCATGAAATACTCAGAGTGTGTCATCATTTCCAAACACTCACCACTATCAAATTTGTTTGAAGGATCCGTGGTGATATTTGTGCTTACATGGTGACCAACCCATTGTATTCATTTGCAAATGAAATAAAACTTGAAAATTAATGTTTCCAATTTCTTTCCCAAGTGTTTGCCAGGAAGTTATTTACTTGACTCTACTGTTCCGTTTAGTCCTCTGACTTCTCAAATTGCTTTGGCAAAATTTCAATTTATCAATGTGGTTCCTATGGTTATAAATCTGTTTACCCACTATGTAACCCAATTCGTTTTTACTTCATGAGAATCTTCTCTAAGGTCAGAAGTGCACAGCACTGGGTGAGACACAAACTTTAAAACCTGCCCTGCATCAACTGAATTCAGAAGCAACACGAGAAAAAGAATGAACTGAAGAAAGAACTCAAATATCTATTCACTTTAAGGGGAAAAAAAAAAATTCTTTCCATGGGAACTTTCTGATGTGGACTAAAGCTAATACAGAGTTTCTCTTAGGTAAATTTCAAGAAAATTTAAAGAAGCCAAAAGAAAGCCATGAGAGGTAGCCCAGCAATCACTTAGCAGATTTAATAAACACTACCCAAAGAACGATGCTTTAGAATATCAGTAATACATTAAGGAAAAGGAACCAAATGTGAAAACATGAGGAGAATTCACACTGCTCAAATTCAACCTCTACTTTGCTTGTTTGATTCAAATTTTGTCTTTGAGATTCTACAACCTTAACTGTCCAAGATAAAAGTGTGGAATAGAATAGCAGTTATCTCGATGGCCAGGGAGGAAAGAGTACAATGGAAAAGCATGGAACCTGAAGTTGAATCCCAGACTAGATGCGCTGATTAATCACCCATTGCTGACTTTGCTTCACATACTTTGTCCAAGTAGCTCCTTACAGCTAAGGAAAGAGAAGGGGTCTGGTACGTGAGCATTTTCATTCATTTATTTCCTTCCAAAACATCTGCTCCTGGATCATTTTGCAATGTATATCTGAGCCAAATTTCACATGGATTCCAACTTAACCTATTAGCTCTTAAAATGTGAGCAGGGTTCTTAAAAAGTAATGATGACACCAAGTATGAGGATGCCCCTTCCTGGACCTTATTTTCCTCCTAGGGGAATATTTTCTAATAAAAATTGCTTTTCTCTGCAGATATCTTCTTCATTATGTTACCAAGTATGAAGTAGGGCACCATGACTTGTGTCTATAATCCTAGTTGCTCAGGAGGCTGAGAGCAAAAGATGGAGATTTGAAGCCAGCCCAGGCAGAAAAGTCCCTGAGCCTCTTATCTCCAGTTAACCATCAAAAAAAAAACAAAACCATTCATGGAGCTGTGGCTCAAGTGGTAGAGCTCTAGCCTTGAGCAGAAAGAAAAAGAGAGAGAGAGAGAATTATGTCATATGTCTGAATAATGAGAGTCATTCAACTCAGTTCAAGAGGCTAAAGAGTAATTAAGCATTGCCTTACCTTCTAAAATGCTTTTGGCCAACAAACTAGGTGTCCTGACTTGCCTCTGATACACAGCTTTGCGCTCGAAATTATTCTGTTTCCCAGAAAGTCCCTTCTTGTCCTGTAAACACAACAAACATAATCAGTGCCTTGAAAGAAAGTGTAGGAGAAATAGAAAGGATATTATTAGTAAAGCTTCTAAAACCTACACCAAACTAAATATATTTATTTTGCTAGCCTGGAGGTGAGGGGGGGGGGAACCATTCCAAACAAGTTAAAATGCGCACCCCTTAATCCTAGGTTCACCAGTTTGAAGCTCTCTCTTGAGCCTGTAACTAGTTAGCAGTCACTCTAGAAATAGTTCAGGGAAAATGTCCCCCAAAGTGACATGGAGGGAGGTGAAATGGATGGCTAAGGGAGTCTTTCCTGAAGATACGACTGAGCTGATGGTTGCATTGGGGTGAACATGCACAGGACCTTAAAGGGCAGTTGAGCAGAAAAGGACAGGCTTCTTCCCAGATAAGGTGGATAAAATAGGGTGATGGAGAGGGGAAATAGTCTTCCTGCATTCCCAGCCTATGTCACCCAGTGGAATTCTGGAATCTTTTCTAATCCAACCCAGTGGATTATGGGGAAGCTTGCAAGAGGTTTGTTTGGTGAGAGACCAAGGGGGGGGGGGAGGGGGTAGCACTCTCTCTCCCTTGGGACCTCGCCTGCTTTGGCATGTATGTTGACCTAGTTGCCAGTGGATATCTGTCAAGAAGGTCAAATGGAAAGCTTTCCCGGGACTGGGAGTGTGGCTCAGTGGCAGAGCGCTAGCCTAGCACCAGTGAGACCCTGGTTTCATCCCCAACATGGCAATTTTATTTTCATTTAGTCTTCCCTGCACCTAGGAAGAGGCTCTGTAAAGCTTCCCTTGTTTGCCCTGACATCAACTGTTTAAAATAATATATATATATATATATATATATGATAAATCCAAGCCTCTCTTCTAACGACTACCCTTGCTCTCTGCCCACCTGAGCCCCCTCGTGCCACAGGACCCCTGCACAGATTCTTTGACCACACCCGCTGGGGGCTGCAGATGCCCGACTTGGTCTCTCCTTCTGTCACAAGATTCGCCCTGTCGCTAAAGGTGACTGTGGAGAGCTCTGGGGACCCGGCCTGCCTGTGGGAATGAGGCCTGGCCCTGTGGCCACCTCCCTCAGCCCATCCCAGCCCGCCACGTAAACTAACTGAAATAAATTAACATGGGGCAACCATCGCCCAAACCTCTCATCTTAGCTACTCAGGAGGTTGAGATCTGAGATGCTGGCTTCAAAGCCAGAAATGAGAATTCGCATCTCCAATTAATCACACACATAAAAAGTGGGCGGGGGGCCTAAGGGACAGCGCCCAGGCCCTGAGTTCAAACCCTCCAAAACCAGCACAAGAAAAACAGTAATAGTAATGATCATGAATAGTCATAATCATAAAGTAACTTTCACACACACACACACACACACCGGGTCTCAAAGGAACCTCCACGCGCTCTGCTTTTCAATAGGAATTAAGGTCCGGCCAAGTTCCCCCGGCCTTCCCTCCCTCCTGAGGCTACTCTCTAGTAGTTGGGGGGGGGGGGTGTCAGCATCACAAGGGGAATGGGTCGCGGCCCGGTCCCCTCCTGACTCCCCGGGCGACCCCGGGACGCACGGCTGCGCGCCCCAGCCCGGGGCCGGGGAGGGCCCCGCGCGCACGCACCTCGGTGGCCTGCTGCCTCCGGAGCGCCACCTGGGCGGCCATGACGCGCTGGCGCTCCACCACCAGCAGGCAGTTGGCACACTGGCAGTCCCGCCAGCGGCAGAAGCGCTTGTGGCCCTTGAGGCAGGACACCACGCCGTGGTTGCGGCAGCGCGCGCACTTGGGCGTGCGGCTCAGCTTGCGCGGCTCGGGGCCGCCGCCCGCCTCGGCCCCGCGCTCCGCCGGGCCGGACGGCGGCAGCGACGGCCCGGGCGCGGGGGGCGGGGGCCTCGGCGGCCGCTCTTCCCCCGCTGGCTCCGGCCCGCCCGGGCCCCGCGGCGGTGGCGAGGCGCCCGTCTCCTCGCTGTCACCGTCCTCCTCCGGGTCTGCGTCCTCCGCGTCGTCGTCGTCGTCCTCCTCCTCTTCCTCCTCGCCGGCCCCGTGGGCCGCCGCCAGCGGGCTGGGTGGCGAGGGTGGCGGCGGCGGCGGCGCCCCACGGCCGTCCTCTTCCTCCAGCTCCAAGCTCTCCACGTCGATCTCCCAGTCCCCGGCTCCAGGACCTGCTGGCCGACCGGCCATGGCGCGCGCGCGCGCGGTGCCTCGCTGGTCTCGGCTGCCCACACTCTGGGGAGACACAGAACCCGGTCCCAAGACGCGCCCGAGGTCGGCAGGGGCCAGGCCTGAGCCTGCGGCCCGGGCCTTCCACAGGCCAGGCTTCTGCCTCGAGTTCTCCTGCTCTAGAATCCTCCCTCCCGGAGTCCTTTCTTGTATCTCTAAGGGCCCGAGCGATCCACAGTCCAACGGGGGAAGGAGGGAATTTCATGTCATGGATTCCCGATGATCTGTAAGCACCTGACCCGCCAACAAACACAGCCCTCCTGAAACAAATCCCCCAGGAACTCATTGACCTCAGACACGGGGCCACCGCCTCTGCCCAGGCCGCCCTAAACCTCAGGCCTTGCCAGACCCAACTCCCACGGCCAGGGTGCACATCGGAAGAAAGAAAAGCAAGAAAAGCGCACCGATGCGGGTGCTCTTCCTGCCACAAACAACACTGACGCTTCCCCAAAGCCTCTCGTTCCCCTACACCACCATCACCACCACCGGGACCCTGGAGAAGGTCTTCCATCACCCCCTCCCCTCATCCCCAAAGAGGCAACTGAAAACCGACAGTCACTCGATCAGCATCACCCCGCACAGGGCTGAGCCACGCTTCTTGATTTCCAGGAAAACCAGACAGGCCAGTCAAACAGAACCGACGTGGAAAGGTGGCTCGAGCCCTTGGCTCCTCCCCGACACCCCGGCCGCCGGCACCGCCGAACTCACCAGAACTCGGAGGCCCAGAGTCCAGAGGTCTCCAGCTTGAGGATCGGGCTGCAGAGTGTGCGTGCAAATGGAAATGGGGCGGGGAGGGAAGGAGCGTGGCCACCCCGCGCCACGAAACCTGAGAGTGGGGATGACAGGCGGCCCGAGCCCCTTTAGGTGGGCATGCGAGGGAGGGAGGTAGAGGAGAGTGTAGGAGCCGGGAAGGGAGGGAGGTGAAGCCAGTCCTCTCCCAGCGCCTCCCAAACTCTGCCAAGTTCTGTTCCTTCTTCCAGCCCGGGGCTGTGCCCTGGGGCTGAGTCCGCTTTCGACTTCTGCTGGCCTCCAAGAGGCCAGCCCTGGTCGCCGGCTCTCCACGCAGCCTCTCCCCGCAGGCGCAGGCACGCACGCACGCCACGGCGGGGTGTGCGGCGCCCACACCGCGGTCTCCAGCCTCCGCTCCCCTCCCTAGTATTATCCACTCGCCTCCCCACACTCCACCCAGCTCCGCGCCCTCCGATTGGCCAGTTGTCAGGCGGTGTGCGCGCTGATTGGCCGACGCCAGCCATCTGGGGCGTCCTCCTCCCCCTTCTCCTCCTCCTCCGGGCGGAGTACGCTCTACCTCCCAGCCCGGCTCCTCCAGACTCAGCCCGCCCGGCCTTCGCAGCAGCCGGGGTCCCGGTTCCTGAAGCTAAACCCTGAAGCGCCACCGCGCCTGCGGGAGAGAAGGGCTCTTTCACCCCGAGGGCTCGGACCCTGGCGGAGACAAAACTCTTACGCATCGCGTTGTCCGCCAGAGAAGGTAAAGCACATCAGGAGGCCGAGATCAAAACTGGCTGGCGCCTATCCCTCATTAGCAGCATCTCCAATGGCTTCCCCCCGGCTCGAGGTGGAGATCGGGCCACTCTAACCTTCTCTCTGCTCTAAGACTAAGTCCTTTTCAGCGTCTAGTCGGGGTGCAGATGACCCGTGGGTGGTGTGCGTGTGCGTGTGCGTGTGTGTGTGTGACCAGCGTTGCTCATCTTGGAGATAAACATTGCTCCTCATTTAGTTCACAGAGCCCGTGAGGAGGCAGGTGGTCAGGTCACATTTCTTTCTCTGCTATTTGAAATAACGATCGCGGTGAATTGGGGCGAGGATGGGAAAGCATGCGATGCATCAAGGGGGGAAGGGGGACACTGTGCCCTAAGCATGCATTTAAACATAGTTCTCTTGGTAATAAGTTGCTGGGGGGGGGGGTCTGCATGCATATATTTGCAATGAAAAGGGACTCTCTTCATCTCCCACAAAAATCTTTCGCCAAAACAAAAGCAAAACCATTTAGAACGGTTACATTTCCAGTCAATGAACGGAAGAACTTGGTCCTCTAAAGTCAACGCTACTGCGTTGCTCGTTGGGATGCATTTAAAAATCACGCAGCAGACGCTTTTCTGGTTGCCTTCCTTGAGCAATCAAGCCCTCTCCAGAAGGATCGGTTTAGGAAACCGAGGAGGAATTTTTATTGCCTTGTGTCAAGCACATAGTAGGCCCGCAAGAACGATTGGTTGGAGGTAATTGCTGAACGGATTCTCTGTGTAGCAATGCGCCAGGCGCATCGAAGTAAGAACGTCAGGTATGGTTGGGCTCGTTGTGAGGAGGGAAAAATTCTCTCCGGATGACCAAGCACTGGATTCCCATGTTTGCGGGTACTTCTCCCCAGGAAAGGAAGTGGACGCACCTGCATGTTCCCCCTAGATGTTAACCGTCTCCGAGGGTGACTGCCGAGAGCTGGGCGCTGCGCTCTCCTGCCTCGGGCTTGAGATGCAGGTGCCTTTGCTTTGCCAACACCAGGCAGTTTGAGCTTCACCTTTTGCATGCTTTCTTATCTCATCGAGGTGCATTTCCCCCCCCCCCACACACACACACACCCGCCTCCGTGGGAGCGTTTGAAGTCTTAACCACAGCGGAAACAATGTTCTTCTTCCAGGCTTGTTTTGTCTGGTTTTGTTTTTCCTTTTTGAAATTTTGTTGTTTGACTTCGGGGACAAAGTTTTCCTTTGGAAACACCAGGCTGGCCCCCAACCCACCACCCTACACCTAGATCCGTCTCAGTTTTCTTTGCTTCTCTTCTTTTCTTTTGGCTCCCTCCATCCCCAATGAGGAAAAACCTTGGAGCACCCAGAGAAATCTGGGAAGGACTCCTGGAAAAGTGATGAGAATCTCTGTCCTAGGTGGGGCCCTAAAGCTCCCGGCTCTCCGTAGGAAACACTGGCAGTGCGTTTGGGTGACATGTATATTATTATTATTATTATTATTATTTTCCTCTCTCCTGCACTCCTGATTTTAGTACTGGAGTTAGGAACTATTCCACAGGAATAGAATTCTTCTCCAAAAAAAAAAAAAAAGAAGAATTCTTCTCCATCTCCACCACCCCTCCTACCCCAGACCCTTAAAATAAAAATCACCCCCCGCACCTCCCCCATACCTAGGCCAACGGGCTTCCCCACGTTTCCACAAACTAACCCCTCCCTCCCATCCCATCCCCACGGCCGCCTCCACGGTGCTATTGGGCTTTTCTTCTCTTGCCTTTACAGCCCGGCAGGAGTGAAGAGGTGTGACATCGTTAGCCCTTCGCTGGTCATTTTAAATAGCAACAAAGTCAACTTTTGGATAAACCAGATTGAGGGGGCACAGAAGAGGAAACGGGGTGGGGGGGAGACGGTGGTGGAGAGGGGTGAGCGACCGTTTCCTAAACTGAAAGTAAACGGGTGAGCGCGCAGCCCTGGAACTGCAACCATAGAAATAAATGGTTAGGAGAGCGCGGTACACCTCGCCTGGGGGGGGGGGGGGGCGCTGGAGCTGGCTCCTGGGACCCGGAGCGGACGGGGGACCGCGGCCTGGGAAGGGTCTGGCAGCCACCGACTAGTGGCTTCTCCCAGGGTGCTCCCCATCAGACCCTGAAGTGGGGAAAGTGGTCCCCGCCCCCCCCCCATACGTACCTTCACGCTTGGACGCGCAGGATCCTAGACGACCAGCCCAGGATCTGTGTCCCTCGCACAATGCCCTCCTCACCTCAGCAAAAACCCTGCACACCCCATCCCCGACGGTCCCCCCCACCCCGCCTCCCCTTCCCCCACCCCACCCCACCCCATTTGCGCACTTGGTTATAACCGCCGTCCTGTTCGATGACACCCCATCCTCGGGCCCCCACCGTCTCCAGAGAACCTCGCTCCCACCGATCGTGCGAAGAGAGAGAGAGCGCAGCTGGAGAAGATCTTCAAGGGAGCTCACACTAAACTCCGAATTCTGTGCGGTTTTCCCCCTGGGGTGGGGGGGGGGGTGATCATACCTTTGATTGCGTTGTCAAAGCAATCTACGACTCTCCACCAACTCTGCTGGCGGTGGACTAAATGGAGAGGAAACCCGAGCTCAGAGAATCCAGGACTGGACCTGGTTGCTCCTCGGCTGGCTGACCTCGGCCAGTGGCGTTGTTCTGTACCTCAGTTGTCTGCAGAATGAGACGCGTGGCGTTTCTGGACGCGCTGATTTGAAGCGCGGGGTGTGGGGCGGGGGGGGGGGGGGCCGAAGGGAGGAGGGTCAAGCAATCCACCTCTGGAGGTCCCCCTCTTAAAAAAGAGATCCGGCCTGGAGCTGATAGGTGAGGCCACAGAGAGCGCTTTCGGCTTGTAAATGGACACCAGGTCACCAAATGCCATTCTGTGGAGTCCCTCTTGTAAATTACAAAACAGTGGAGGGCTACTGTGGATTCAGCCCTCCAAGCTGGGGGGGGGGGGCAGGGTGACCCTAGGAGTCTGCCAACAGTGAGCCAGGTGGGGCGCCTCCCTCCCACCCCATGCTTCTTTCTCCCTTTCCCTAAACTCTCTCAGCCCAGACCCTCACCAGCTCTTCAGGGAATCAAGCAAGTGAGCCAAAGAAATAGTGATGGTCTTTTCCTTTCCTTGGTAAAAGTGGCTTTCTTTCTCCAAATACCTGCCCCTAAATTGAAAGACAATAAAAGGCCAGATGCCTTGGCCCTCGGTAGTCATCCTAGCTATTCAAGGAGGCTGATCCTATCTGAGGATGGCAGTTGGAAGCCAGCCCCAGCAGGAATGTCTGTGAGACTCGTATCTCTGATTAACCACCAAAAAAATCAGATATGGAGGTGTGGCTCAAGGGGTAGAGCACCAACCTGGAGAAAAGAAAAAGAAAAGAAAAGAAAGCTAAGGGACAGCACCCAGGCCCAGGCAGTGAGTTCAAATTCTAGGATAGACACAAAATCAAATAAAAAAAAGAAGGAAAGCATTTTTTTCACATCACATGCCTCCCCAGGCGCTGCCCAAAGGTGAAGCATGCCCGGACCTCAGTGCTAGAAGTGGGAGTGGGGTTCGGGATCTGCACCCTTGGTACACCCACGCACGCTTACTGAGGGAAGAGCCCCCCATCCTTTTCTGATTGCAAAGTCGACTTAGCCTAGCTTAGTGACAAACTTGAGAATGATTTGTATCTCAAATAATGGACATGTAAAGAGCTGGACACTGGGAGAAGGAAATCCAAATGAGGCTTAATTTGGCCCAGCTAAATCAACTTCCCAAAGACGATTGGCCCTTTCTGGGCATCGTGGTCGAAGGGATTTATAGGGTTTCGTTATGGCCTGGGCTTCTCCAGAGATGGTCTCCAGCCAGTCTCCTCCTCGCATCTAGTGGAAGGCAAGTGCATTCTGGCCTTACAATTTTGCCTGGCTATGGAGCGGCGAAATAAATAATCCCACATGGGACTGAAGAGATATGATTTCCCAAGTTACTTTGCGCAACCAAATCTATGACCTGTCACATCTAATGGGGATGGAGGTGAGAGAAGAGCGAATTTCGCCAGACTCAGTTCTCCCTCTCTGAGTGAGAATCACCCCTTCATGATGGGGAACTGGGATTCAAATCCAAGACTTTTAAGATCAAAGGAGAAGGCCCCAATGCACACCCCTGCCGTTACAAAGGAAAGGGAAAGTGAGAGTCAGCTGAGTGGATGGAGGGTTTGCAAAAAGATGTTCAGCTTCAGCTCAATGTCTTTGTATCATGTAGCTTTGTTTTCCTTCTTTTTTTTTAACATGCCCCTTGCAATGGGATGCAGAAGAAGCAGTTATGAACAATCCTGCCTATGTATCTACTAGCCTGCCTTACCCAACACACACACACACACACACACACACACACACACACATTCATTCTCTCTCTCTCTCTCTCTCTCTCTCTCTCTCTCTCTCTCTCTCTCTCTCTCTCTCTCTCTCTCTCTGCTTCCATTGGCTCAATTCACTTGGAAGTCACACAGTTGCCAGGATATGAGGCAATCAGTCTTCCTTGTCTCTTCAGTACCCATTCCAAATGGTCCTCCAGGGAGGTAGAGACTCCAGTTGTACTGGGACCTAGGCTCCACCCTAGGGG